AGATTTTGCCCTGGGGTGTCAAATGGGGGTCGAAAAATGGCGTTTTTATGCAAAAAGCCCCGTCTTCCCTGAACTCCTCTTACATTTTACTCAGCAGCCTAATCATCTTTTGGGAGATGGTTGGTGGGGTCATGTAGATGTGCAGTAAGGTTTCGGAATTTTGATTTTGCCCCAGGGGGTCAAATGGGGGTAAATAAATGACGTTTTTTATACAAAAGCCCCGTCTTCCCTGAACTTCTCCTACATTTTACACAGTAGCCTAATCATCTTTTGGGAGATGGTTGGTGGTGTCATGTAGATGTGCAGTAAGGTTTCGTAATTTTGATTTTTTCCCCGGAGGGTCAAATGGGGGTGGAAAAATGATGTTTTTTGTGCAAAAAGGCCTGTCTTGCCTGAAGTCCTCCTTAATATTACTCAGAAGCCTAATCATCTTTTAGGCGAGTTAAATATTTTGAAAATTATGTAAAACATCAACGTCAAGGGGTAAAAAAGCATTGCATGCTGGAAAACACCTTGAATTCTTATGAGTAATTAATGTACATGTCAAATGTGAGAGTCATATCTCATCTCAATCAAAAGTTATCAGCAAATGCAACATTTTTGAAAAGTAGGTTAAGCTTCAAGGTCAAGGTCACAGAGTAAAAGTCATGATTTATTTGGAAAGGTCTTATCACAGGTAATAATATACGTGCATTATAATATGAATGCCCTCACTTTTCTCTTTCAAAATGATGAATTTATAACAATTTAATTTTTTTGCAAGTAGGTCAAACTTCTAGGTCACATGTAAAAAAAAAATAACCATGCCATTCTCACAGGTAAATACTAGTACATAAGTTTAATATGAATGCCTTGTCTCTTCTCATTCAGTAGATATGACCGTGATGACCAAGGTTAAATTTATTGAGACAGATGGACAGTCTGACATACAAATGTACATATTTCTATATGAATTGGGTAAAATTGGCCCAGTGGTTCTAGAGAAGTTAAAAATGTAAAAAGTTTTCAGACAAACAGATGGACGACACGTCACAACAGACGTTATATGATAAGGAAACCAGAAAAGCTCAAATGAGTGTTTTGAAAGGGTTACAATATGGTTACAGTGTTTGAAAAGCTGTTCTTTTTTTGGTGTAGGGTGGTTTCGCGCCGATTACGTGTTCGAGCCGAGTGGTATCGCGTCGAGTGGTTTCGCCCCGTTTATCTACAGGTAAGTAGATATGGGTAGTATACAGAATGGCTTCCCCCGATTACCTGTAATTATAACTCAGGTAGCTAAGCTTGTAATTAATTAACCCCAAGCGTTAATGTCGAGTTATGTCAGATAATCATCCCATTTTGTATTATTAATACTTATAATGAGGCCATTTTTAGCATTTGATCGTCTAATTTGGAATAATTTTGGACTGGATGTTAAAATATAATTATTTCACAAATCTAGTTGACTTTTCAATGAAGGTTGAGAATTTTCAGAATAAAAAAAGCTGACCATGGCAAATGTTTGGGGAAGAATGAAGTTTTTTGAAATACATGTTAAAAGCGCACGACTTGTCTCTCATCATTATTTTTAGTTAATCTGCTCATCATTAGTGATCAAACGATAATCAAACGACTACCCGATAAGCGGTATCTTCAGTAATACAGTGGCGCGAACCCATGTGGGGCGAATCCACTCGGCGCGAACAAGTGATGGGAGCAAAACCACTCGGCGCAAACACGTAATAGGAGTGAAACCACCCGCATTCTTTTTTTCATGCAGAGATATGCATGACCAACATATTCATGTTTTATATTTTCTTTAGTAATTTGTTTGTTTGTTGTGAATACATCTCTCTTTGGAATTTTTCCCTCATATGGAGACACCACCAAATAATAATGAAGACAAGATGTGTTTGTGAAACACTGATGTCCCTGTATGGAAGTCTAGGGTATGGCGAAGGTTGAAGTTTCTCAAATATATGTCAAACTCAAAGGTCAAGGTCAAAGAGTTCAAATTGTTGATATCAGAAGAAAGTCTTGTCACAAGGAATGCACATGTGAAATAAGTAATCCCTAGTACTTCCTGTTCAAAAGTTAATTGCCAAGGTTAATTTTTTTTAAGTGGTTCAAACTCTAGGGTCAAGGCTTGACCCTAGAGTTCAAGGTCAAACATATTTATACCTGTTGACAGTTCACAATGAATACACATGTTAAGCATGAAAGCCCTAGCACCTACTGATCAAAATTTAGGCCAAGTTTAAAGTTTGGTATTTTTCTTGTAAAAATGTGTATCCTAGGTCAAGCGATCAGAGGTAAAAATTAATGGTACCCAAATAAAAGGTCTTAATTGTCACAAGAAATAAACCTATAAAATGTGGAAGCCATTTGTATAGCCCATCCCACTTAAAACTTATGGGCAAGGTTATAATTTTTGCAGACAAATAGACAGACATAATATAAACACAAGAAACAAAATATGTATAATTAGTCAAATGGAAAAAAAAAATACTATAATTGGAATCACAAAATAGATTGTTATTTCAGGGACAGGGAGTGGGTAGGGAGATTGGACCCCCCCCCCCCCCCCTGGAATTTGCTTTGTTATTTAAACAAGACTATATACTGAAGCAAATAAAAAATGACTTTGGACATCCTTCCCCTAACTTAGAAAACATTGACCCCAATATCATTGTTTTTATTTTGTTTATTTGTTTTCAGTTTTTTTTTCCTGCTGCTTGTCAGGAAATACTGGGCTGGAATTTTTTGACTGAAATGTGAACCCCCTCCCTACTCCGAAAAAAAATTCTGGAGATAACTTCACAATATCAAATTTGTCTAGTGTGGCATGCGATGATCTTTGACCCTTTTTGAACTTTAACCTAATCGTTTGGGTTTATTTTACCCCCCACTATACTTAAACTTGTACTTACTGACTGCCGGTCTTGTCAACTTCATGAAATATAATCCAATTATAACACAAAATGAATTAATCCAATGCACACCAGACTGCAGCATGTGCTATTCCATTCGGCAAACCTTCGTCGATTCCATCACCTTATCAGATGAAGTTGGAATCGGCCGAGGTGAGCCGAATGGTGTTTAATCTAAAAATATGATAATGGGTGACGCAACGTGATGTGATGTAGAAATTTACATGTTAACATGTATAGTACAAGAACAAATTTTAAATTAATTCATGACAAACGATGTTTTAACAAAACTTTTCCATCTAGCCTATTCTGAAAAGTATGTGCTGTGTGATTGTGGTGTCGAAAGGGGGGGGGGGGATTAGTAAATTTAAAACGGTTCTATTATGAGCAAAACATTTATCAAAATCTAATTTACATCATTAATAGAATTCAAAATGGTATATAATGAATTAAGCATGTAAAATAAATATAAGAGGTTCTGAGTTATAGGTCACAGGGTTGAGAATTTCATACTCAATTTGATGAATACATGTAAATTATAGAATTATTTTGACTTTTCCCTAGCTTGGAAAGCCGCCCAATATGTAGGAGCGTGTATTTAGAGGCAAATATCTTAGTGCGGGTATTACTGTCTCATGACAGCATCTAGTTATCAATATTCAGACCCACAAAAAAAGTTAGTGTCAAAAACGTAACATTTTTTACCTTGACCTTGACCTCACTTATCTTTAATTAGAGTTTCGCTCAGTTTTAAAGATACCATTCAAGATATTTTTATCAAACTTCATATGTTGATACATATTGATGAGAGATATGTGACTGCATCAACATTTTTGACCTTGACCTTTCATTTGACCTTGACCTGTGAACTCTGTTTTCCTAAATCAGTGTCAAACTTCATATGCTGATACATACTGATGTAAGCATTTCAACTGCATCAACATTTTTGACCTTTACCTTTTATTTGACCTTGACCTCACTTTTATCAAATTGTATTTATGTCAGTTTTATTTAAAGACATCATTCAAGATATTTTTATCCAACTTCAGATGTTGATACATATTGATGAGAGATATGCAGCTGCATCAACATTTTTGACCTTGACCTCTCCTTTGACCTTTGACCTCACTTTTCCCAAATCAGTGTCAAACTTCATATGCAGATACATACTGATAGAAGCAATTCAACTACATTAACAATTTTGACCTTGACTTTTTATTTGACCTTGACCTCACTTTTATCAAATTGTGTTCAAGTCATTTTTAATTAAAGACATCATTCTAGATATTTTTATCAAACTTCATATGGTGATACATATTGATGAGAGATATGCAACTGCATCAACATTTTTGACCTTTACTTTGACATTGACCTCACTTTTCCTAAATTAGTGTCAAACTTCATAAGCTGATAGATATTGAGGTAAGCATTTCAAGTGTATCATGATTTTTTACCTTGACCTTTCATGTGACCTTGACCTCACTTTTATTGATTTGTGTTTTAAGTCAGTTTTAAAGAAACCATTTATAAATATTTTTTCAACTTCATATGCTGATACATACTGATGAGAGCTTTTCAACTGAATCAACAGTTTTTGACCTTAGCATTTCCTTTGACCTTGACCTCACTTTAATGAAATTAATGTCAAACATCATATGCTGATACATACTAATGTAAGCAATTCAACTGCATCACTTTAAAAGATTTTCTGATCAAATTTCATACACTAATACAAATTTTCTTGTTGCTTTACTAATATACCCTGGGCGGGGCATTCATGTCCTATGGACATATTTCTAGTTGAAGTTGTACAATTAGTTCATGAACTTTTTGATCACCCCTCATAGGGTGGGGTCATTAAAAAATCTCAAGAACCACTGGGTCAGAAATGCTGAAACAGCTGTGGAAGCATCCTGGGGTAGATTCTTAATTAATCCAATTATGCCTCATAGGGATAGGATAGGCCCACAATAAGTATTACAAGAAAGGAAGTCTGGTGAGGAATAGCAGTGCAAACTTTACTCAGGTGAGCATTGTGGCCCTTGGGCCTCTTGTATTTTACTGCCATATTAAAATAAAACATTATTGTAGAATCCCAAGGACTGTAGTAAAGCGAAGAAGATTGTCTGCAATCTTAGTAAGGGCTGTGGTTATGGCTGCCAGCTTCATCATGTGGTGTACTGTATGATGGTGGGGTATGCTACTGGACGGACTTTGATATTAGAGTCCCAAGGTTGGAGATATGCATCAGCTGGCTGGGAGTCAGTGTTCCAGCCACTCAGTAATACATGTACCAAGAAAGACGGAACAAGTTCAGAACACTGGAAAGGTGGGTTAGAGGACATAAAACAACAACCAGTTCTTGCTGTTTTTTTTAGCTCACCTGAGCTGAAAGGCTCAAGTGAGCTTTTCTGATCACATTTTGTCCATTATCTGTTTAGCTGTCCGTCTGTCTGTAAACTTAAGACATTTTTTACTTCTTCTCCAGAACCACTGGGCCAATTTAAACAAAACTTGTCTAAAAGCATTTCTGGTTGAAGAGAATTCAAGATTATTCAAGTGAAGGGCCACACCCTATTTCAAGGGGAGATAATTAAAAAATAGTGAAAAGAGCCATAGCTGCCTTACCGATGACACGACCGACTCAAGTATTTAAAAGGAAATCATTTGTTTCTATTTATAGATGCGTGTACCATTTCAATTCAAGATCAAACTACATGTTTGTAATCATTTGTGGACCAGTGTTATATTTTCATAGTTTCAAGTTTGTTACATAATTCCCATACCGAAAAAAGTTATAACTTAGTTATAACTTTTGTAACTAAAATTAGTTATATAAAAGTAATAACTAAGTTATTGGAGTTTGGAACTGCATGTTTTAAGTGAGGTATTATTATAACTTCGTTACAAAAAAGTTATAACTTTTGTATAACTTTTCACCTTTTATTCAACATAAATACAGCAAGTGCATCAAAGTCACAAAAAAAGTTATAACTACAAAAAGTTATACTTATTAAAAGTTACACAAAAAATTATTTAAAAAAGGTACAAAGTTATACTTTAGAAATACCCAAATAAACAGTGGAAAAGTTACAAAAAAGTTATACCTGAAAAAAGTTACGAAAAAGTTACAAAAAAGTTATACCCGAAAAAAATTATACCCAGGAAAAGTTATAACTAATAAAAGTTATACCCATTAAAACAGGTCGAGACCACTACCTTATATGGAAGGCAATTTTCAACACGTGATGATGTCTTCGTCACACCCATTCTCCAATCAAGTGAATGAGTCCCAAAGTATGACAGTCTACTATGTGTTTACGATTCAATGGCGACACGTGGTTTTCGTCGGTTTATTGCACAATATTTAACTCGTCACCGGAAAAACTGTAGAGCTCCTTTATCACTTTGTAAGACCGAAATTGAAAGATTATATTCTAAAGACATTGCTCCATGCTCACATTTAATAATGGAGTTGTTTAAGTTGACTAATAGTTCCTTCGAATACCGTACAAATGCATTTACATAAAACACCTTTTGATAATATTGAGGGGTTAAAAATAGTTGCACAGCGTCTCCTGCTGTCTAAAACCAAGGACCTATATACTACCTGCTAAAACTTTGTACACGTATATCACATGAAAAAAACTCAGTGTTTTATCGACACGATAGCACCTATGTCTCTTTGAACAATGGTTTAAGCCGATGTATTATAAGTTGATATAAGGCTTCATAAAGCACATTTTGTAAATGTGAGCATAGAAATGAAAGATTATACATCATTTTTAATATTTCTTTCCCAAATATCAAAAAACAATTGAAAATAAGTTTCCAAGGGAAAATTCAAGTTGCCCTTTATTTTCAACACAGCTGGGTACTTGTAGTAGCCCACAATGCATTGCGGCTCATTCAGCAGTAGGTAAAGGAAACAGATAGCTAATTTACATGCAAATTTATGCTGACGTCAGAAAATCTAGTGGTCTCGACCTGTAAAAGGTTATAACAAAAAAAAGTTATAACTAAAAAAAAAGTTATACCTATCATAAAGTTATGAAAAAGTTATACCCCAAGAAAGTTATGAAAAAGTTACAGAAAAGTTATACCTACAAAAAAGTTATAACTACAAAAAGTTATAACTATAAAAAACAAGGTATTATTTTATCTGGGAATAATTATTTTCCTGGGAATTCACCCTTTTCCTGTGGATAAATTATAAGGTGCCCTATTACCCCTTAGTTACTCAAAAAATAAAAATGGTAGTGACATTTATGCCTAAATGTAAGTGATATTACTTAGATGAAGAAAAAATGTTTATATCACATTACTTTCTGTTCTGTATTTTCTATCTTTTTATCAATGTTTCCATTTTTTTTTTCTTTCTCAATTTTTTTTTTTTTTTTTTTTTTTTGTGTGTGTGTATAAATTTATTATTGTTATTCAATCTCATAATATAAGTCTAAGATTTACTTCCGGTAGAAGGGGGGTGGGGTCAGCTTTTCAGTGAAAAGCTAACCCACCTTAGGTTTTCACTGAAAAGCTAACCCCCTTAGCTTTTCACTGAAAAGCTAACCCTCAACGTAAATCCAAGTTTTGTTCCATCGCTGGCAGAAAAGGACATTGCAATTCGTAATTCCTCACCGCAAACTGTATAATAAATCGTTAAAAACATCGTAGAAGCGATTATTCATCAAATGTAAGCTTAAAAATAAAACGAGTGTAGCCCAAGGTAGGCCATTGCGAGTTACCGATTTCTCTTCACGAAAATACAAAGTGATTATGATCGAGGCGTATAGAATCCTGATTGATGTCGCGAAAGTTCGTAAATTTCCTGATAAGCAAGTTACAATATGCCATTAGTCCGTATTTTGAAGCGTTATTTACAATGACAAGTTCCAACAAACGATATCCATTACTGCTGAAGGTGGCGTCTCTGCATCACTTCCTTATTACATGACGTCATGTTCGCAGTGTCTCGGGTCTTTCCGGCGAGCTCGGAAAAACACGATTGATCGAATCATTGTTTATAAGATATGAAAAACTGTTTTGCTGAGAATAAATAAATAACAGCATGCTTATCTTTATAATTAAATTGTTCAAGTTCACCCATGTTAAAATAAGCAAAAATTAATTGCAGGTACCGCAAAGTGATTAGATCTAACAGGTAATGAGGTGTACATGAAGTGGAATAAGTTGTATTTGTTAAAATCTGTTCCGATTTTTACAGTTTTTGTTGTTGTTGAATTTTGAAATTTTTTTTCTGGTGGTAGATTGTTGGTATTTAAATGCATGGATTTTTTTTTAATATTGGTTCGACACTTTGCTTCTTTAGTAACGTAATGTAATAAATTATCCTATTCTTCATAAATGATATATAATTATGTAACTGAGATTACAAGATTTCCAAGAACTTCTAAAGGGTAAAACAATAAATCAATTTTAAATTTCTGAAGATTTTGGATCCACCCACATACTTCGTCGCCATTTAAAGACGCATTTTTAGTGTGCAAATCTTTGAGATACAGCAAAAAAATGACGTAGACCTTACTGTTACGTCATAGAGCTCTCGGGGTTCAGAAAAACAGAGAAAACTAAGCTGGAGGATTCATGGGATTGTTCAGGCAAAGACAGGGAGATTCAATATTACCTGTTTTTCTGTTCTCTCTCTCCGTTTCTTAAGATTTGATACTGCTGTACGGTATCGATTTGTTAATGCCACAATACAAAATAAAATGTACCTGTAAAAAGGCGCATAACAGGAGAAATATATTTTAAATTGACCATTTCAAAAACTGGATTGGGCAACCACCGAGCTTTTTTAAATTGTAAATTTTGTATATACTCTCGGTTTAACCCATAGGTAACAAACACATATTAATTAACGGGGTACTATTTACTTTACACGTAAAGTAATGCACATCTCACACACATATGACCAAACAGTTAGATTATCTATCGTTATAAGATAAGATTAATAATTAATGCCAATTTGAGGCAAATTTGTTGAATTTCCTCCAAGGGTTATAAGAATTTGACGGAAATATCTAGGATGAATGCCGAAAAAAAGTGGACTGAAAAACATACTGCCGAAAATGCTGGAAATGTGGTATAAAAAGTGGTATAAAAAGATAGTATACAATTAACTCTGATACACGGATTATACAACACATGTATTGTACATTCATGACGGTATCCACTATATACAGCCCCCCTTTTTTCTGGAATCCGTGAACAAATGAAGCGATGTTGTTGGACCAAATTAAAAAAAAAACCTAGAAGATCCCATACCAGTATATAATTGTTTTAAAGTATCGGTTATTAAATTAAATAAGAAATTTACACTGCTAAAATGTATAATTTACAATTTTTTTTCATAGTGCAGCCCACTCATTTAAACCAAATTAACGTCATATCTACCTATGAAGGAATGAAATTTTTCGAACTACCCCCCCCCCCCCCCTTTCCTGTTCAGAAACATCTGAATCCGCTCCTGTATTTTATCAGAGAAAGTGGATGAATGACGTTTGTCAAGTGTATGTACTGGTATTTCTTATGATATTCTCTAGGTATAATTATACATTTGTAATTATTTCCTCCAGTGTGATGTTTTTTCGTGAATTTACTTTAAAAATAACACAACAAAGAAGAAAAGTAGAATTGCTTGGTTTTATAAAGTTATATGATTGGCTGCGATATGGGAAGGGATTAACATAAAAATAAGTTACGTTAATTTACCCTACGTGTATTTGAATCTCTTCTCCCTATATAGCTAGCAGCTTTGGTGTTGGAAACTTTCATACATTACATATATCTATTTACTTATCACTCTCTTTTGTTAAAAAAATATTACTTAATTTTACATGATATGAAAATCAGTCAATATGTTCAAGCAGTGTTGTAGCACTTGTCGGGCATCATGTGTGTGACCGGAATTAAGTGATGTGGTCAACTTGGCGAGATAAAAGCAAAAACCTATGAAAAAAAAGTGGACAGCCAGTAATTAAGGTCTTCCGTTTCCAACGGAAGACCTTATTGTTTTCGTTCGGTTTCTTTTTCCCTATTATTATTATTATTTTTTTTTTTCTTACCGATTTTTGTGCACGCCAGTTCTCGGAAACGGCTTGGTCGATTTTCACGAAACTTTCAGATCTGATAGATATTGGTCTGAACCTTATTGGAAATTTTTTATAAGTACGTCGTCACTTCCGGTCGTGAGATATGGACGATTTACTGATTTTAAGAGGGTCAGCTTGTCCGGGCAATCACTAAAAAACGAATGAAGATATTGACTTGAGATTTGCAGTGAAGGTAGAGGAAGGATTGCTGAATTGC